TTTTCCCCCCCCCCCCCCCCCCCCTCCGTTCTTTCTTGTCATTGCAGTGTGGGTGCGATTTAGTGGGTATCCACCATAGATAAGGGGCCTCGCTCCACTATTCACCACATGCACAAAGACGTACTCAACGACTATCCGCTAGGGGCATACTAGAAATTTGAAACCGGTACTGGTAGGGGCATTTTGAATATATTTCAGGCCCAAACGATGCTGGTTTTTTTTTGGAACCCCGAATCATTGCAGAGGGGCACGGCAGGGTAAATCGTCCGTAGGAGGGGCATGCCACAAATAAATGGATTTTCAAAGGGGCATTTCGAAAATGTTCCCCCCCAAAAAGGGAATGTGGTCTGCATGTGAAGAGTTTTTGGGTGTACCGACGGAGAAGGGAATCCCTCCACAGTCTCAGCATGTGCAAAACGACAACGAATCTGCCCCTAAGACATAGAAGGATACATCGCCTTAATTTTTATCTTTTGTGCATGTCCAGAGCAGTGGAGTGAGGGTACACCACCATGATTTTTATCTTTTGTGCATGTCAAGAGCAGCGGAGTGAGGATACACCGCCATGATTTTTATCTTTTGTGCATGTCCAGAGCAGTGGAGTGAGGGTCATAAATACCGTTGAAATGACCATTAGACTCGGGCACAAACACCTTTGGAATCCCCATGAATCCCCATGAGACTCGCAATAGGCGAGGAGGGAACACGGGATAGTATTCTATGCCACTACACTGATCCCTAAAGCAACCTAAAACCAATGAGAAAATGGAGCCTTACGGATCCCTGCACCGAATGGCGGTATGCATCATCCCACCGTCCGTATAAAACACAGCCAATGATTCCTAACAGTCCCACAACGTCACACAGTAAGGCTCGGACCCCACTGGCTGGCGGTAGTTGGCGGCCAGATAAGCATCCGCCAGAACAAATCGTAGCCGACAGGAGTGGGCAAGCGACATGGGACTCCACTTCCACAACAATTTTTGGCACTTTTCAAGGTTTCTGTTACCTGATAAGGAAGACTTGTCTTTTTGGGCAAGTTTGCCTCCGCTTTTTCAGCACACCAACCAATCCCCGTGCCTCCTTTTCGCACGGGATGGCTGGTATGCCGGCGGACTCTAGACGTTCGGCGGCGTACCATTTTGACTCTTCCTGTTGCAGGTGCACGGCAGCCTACTGCAGTGCCTTCATCATCGACAAATGATTACTCGTCGCAGCCACGGACAAGATGGTGGTCTCGCAATCAACAAATTTTGGATAAATGCAATGCTTTCGTCAGCAAAGCAGAGCAAAAGGAGAGGGAGGAGCGAGCTGCGGAAGAACGTATGAGGAAACTACGTGCTAAAGACGAGGAGGCGGCGCTGTGACGAACCACTTTCTGTGTCGCGCGATGACAATGAGGGGTCCTGAGATGGGAGGGTTGGGCATATTACGAGAAGTGGGATCGACGGGTAAATTGCGACGGTGTCCTTGCTTCTTTCTTTTTCTTCGCTTCGCTCCTTCCCCTTCGACGGTGATGGGACAGGCCCGGGGCAGACGGTTGAGTATGCGCGCCCCATTGGGCGCGGTCCATAATAGTTAGCGATGGTTCTTTCTTGCTCTGCTGAGAGGAAAAGGAGGGAGAACTGAGATTTTTGGTGCGATGATCGCGCGAGAGCTTTTCCGGTTTTCTTTTTAAATTCTCCTTTCAACTAAGGACAAGCCCCCAAGGGCTCTCGAAATTTTGATTTCTTTTTGCTTTCTTCCGTCTCGTTGGAATTTTTATATTGCAAGTTTGAGTTCAGATAGGAATTTAGGACTTTTTGAATTTCTTGCCGAGCGGCGCCTCTTTCTTGCGTGCACCTTCCTGCGGCGGGAACAAGGTTCAGACTAAGCGGCGCCCTTAATCTTGCGTGCAACTGTAATCGTTGGGCGGGCACCATTGTAACTGTATCTTTCTTCTTGTTCCCCCGCCTTCTTCCCGCCCTTTTTCCTTCTTTTCTTTGCTACATCTGATTGGCCTGAGCGTTGCGTGCCTAGATCGATGCGTGGAGAGTGGCTACGTCCCCCACGCCGCGATCTGGCCATGCCAAGCGTAGGCACTTCCTTCTCTGTTCCTCTTTCTAATCCCTGCAATCTCGCATCTTCGTGCACGCATGCATGCTATAAATTTCGTCGGCGCGATTCGATAACTCTCTTAAAAATTTTGGACGATCAGTGAGGGTCGGCTGATGAGCAAAGTGAGAGGTGAGTTGATGTGGGAGTTGGGCGACCCGACGAGCTGGTGCCAAGTGCGCGGGGTTGACGTGTAGGCCACGATGGACTGTGGCGCACGGGTGAACCTGACGGGCGCATGCGGACTAAGCGGGGTGACAACTTCGTTGGTGGGTGCGAGACGACGGACTGTCCGCATCGAAGAGAGAGAGAGAGAGAGAGAGAGAGAGAGAGAGAGAGAGAGAGAGAGAGAGAGAGAGAGAGAGAGAG